ATAAATATATTTGATAAGGTTGTTTTTCTCAATAAAATGTAATGGTATATACTACAGCAGTATAAAAGTATGTATATCTATCTCTCTATATATAGATGCAGCGTGAAATTAAGTTGATATTGGCATAAAAGTAACATTAGTTGCACTCATTACAAGTCCTGCCTTTCAAAATATCACCTGTTCTTCAAACAGCAAGGCTTGAATTTGTGCATTTTTCAGTTTGGATTCAATCTGTTTTGGAATCAGGTGTGGCACATGATGATCACAATTCAGTGAAGGCAAAAGAAGATAATAATTCAAATTCAGTTCTGTTTTTCCACAAATCCATGGCTCAAATTAGTCTCCAGCTTTGGTTCTACTTCCTTCTTAATAGCTGGGTAAAGAAAAATATCCTGGAAAACATCTCAGGAGGGCCAATAACTGATGCTACTCTTTTATACTATCCAAATAGGGCAGCTTGAACCGTGCCAGGAAGCAGCTACAACCTCAGCCTTCTCTGGGACCTTCAATCCCAGCTCTGAACAACCCTCTCTGCCAACGTGGCCGCTGTCCTCATGCCAAGTATTTGGTGGCTCACTAGTTCTCAAGAGTCAATTATCCCTTTTCCCCTTGTTCAACTAAGATTACTGCATTAAATCTGTACAAGGGCCAAGAGGAAAAAGAGAATTTAAATTGCCAATAGTTAAACATAGTTTGGTGGGTTAATCTTAAAACTGTGACCTGTGTCCTCTCTCTGTGAAGGATAACAACATCAGGAGAAAACAAAGCAACAGCTTTGTCAGCATCAGCAGGACCAGTTCGGGTACCTAAAAGATAGATTTCCTGGAGAGCCTGCTCCTCTTTCACTTAAGTTGCTCTCTCTGCCATACCCACAGACCCACTTTCTTTAAAACATGCACCTAATCCCTTAAAATTAAGTTTCCATAAGCCTGTGTATGATACTATAGAAAGCTTGTAACATCTCTGTTAAACTACAGATCTAAAATTTACTTAAGGAAAATTACAGCATGTCCTCTCTTGTTTTTTTTTCTTTCTAGCACATTCAAGTCTTCAATATAACTATTCAAAAGAAGAAATATGCATACAAAAGAAGTTGTGACCTACTTTTCTCCATTTATTTTTTATCAAGAAGTTTTCAAATACTATTTGTGCCATTTGAACGCTTTTGGGAATCCTGAAGCTATTTTTCTCCATTTAGACACTGAACTGTGCAGTTGCCAACTTTGTGCCACTATGTCTTTGAAATTTTGTTTAAGCAGACATAGGTGCACCACTAAAATAGAAGCACACCATAAATAAAATATCAACAATCGCAAGTGTTTACCCTCTTTGTTGAAATGTTGGATGTCAGCTGCACAAAATACTATAGTATTTTACTTTAGAAATGAAAATTCATTCCATACGGTCTTCCAAATATGCAACTTGTATTTCAGACACAGATACCATGAGGGGAAAAGTATCCAGCTGTCTAGAACTCCAAATTCTCTCATTTGTACTGTCATTTAACATAAGACAAAATTTAAGACCAGACCTTAACTGTTTCCAAATGTTGTTTTTGCAGTGTTTCTGCAGAAACCTTTAACCATTGTCAAACATCAGGACTCTTAAACAACAAATACATGCATTGTGTTCCTTCAGGTTTTCATTTTAGACATTCTTCTGTTGACTGCTTGGTATCCTACATAAATCATGGTAACATGATAAATACTTAATGACCCTGAGAGCAAAAGAAGGTCAGGCAAATTGGAAGTACTAATGATTTTAAGCATCCATACAGACAGAAAACTCTTGATCCTGCAGTAAAATGACTGTAGACATCATAGTAGAAAAAATATGTTCAGATTATATTTTCAACTGCAAATCTGTGAAAAGCTATTTTTCCTTTTTAGCAATCTCACAAAAACTAAACACCAACTTCAGTGAAGAAAAAATCCTATATCCACAGTAGAAACGTGCACCTGAATACATATGAAAAATGCAGAATACTGCACTGAAACAAAACAGAACGGATTTCAAAATCTTCTCTCTAATCCTAGTATGTACTGGGCTTTTTTTTTTTTTGTTTTCCCCAGAAAAAAAAAATAACACAATGCTAGCAGCAACTCAGTTAAAATATTATTTTTTTTCCGAGTCTTACAAATGAGCAGAATCTTCCTGTACCTTCCAAGTGTACTGGGAGCACAAGGGGTCTGTGACACTCCAGCATGACAAATGCTCCTTTGCTAGCACAGCCAAGGTTACTGCTGATACGTACAGGGATTTCTGATGACCAGACAATAAATGGCTGTAAGCACCTTCACAGGCCAGAGGAAGGTGTGAGATCTATACTGAAAAAAGCAGCAGCAATATTTAATGTAGCTGACATCCTCTTCTTCGTTCCTTTTCTGAATAATCATCTCTTTACACAAACCTCAGCGGAAGTGCAGTAGTTTTGTAGCTCAGGGTCGCAGTTTGAGACATCGTCCTGAATGTCCCCTCTCTGGAACGTCCCCTCTCAGGAACAAACTGGATAATCTGGGGATCGGGCTGCAGGAAAGGGTAAAAATCTGCTTTGAACAAAAATGACAAATTAGGACTTTGAGTCTTTGTTCTGGGTTTATCATTTTTGCATTTTAAAGATTTTTGAAGAGATACAGCTATAGGAACAACCTAACTTACTTCTTATCATTTTTGCATTTTAAAGATTTTTAGTTTTGAAGAGATACAACCTAACTTACTTTACAGGCATTTTATCTTTCAAAGTCATTAGATACATATTTTATGGTGCAACTTACAATAAAAATAAAGTACAACCTTTAGTGATTCACCAATAATTTATTGTTTTGCATAATAAGGTAAGATCAGATTTCAGGTAAGACATCAACCAACGACCTGATGGCAACTTCAAGTATAGAGCTTGGTACAATATTAACAGAAGCAAAAAAACAAAAACATTTGCTTGACTATGGCAAATGGCTAAAACACAGTATCTGGACTTGACTGTCAAAACACACAATTCTCTAAAAACCCACACAGCACAACTTGAATATGTCTAGTATTAGGAACATATTTAGTCATCTCCATTCACAAGTTCTTAGAAGTCAAGAGGAACGGAGAGCACCTCACGGGCAGCTCAGGAGCGAGGCCGCTGCAGCACGCACGCTCCGGTCCTGTCCCGTCTGCTGGGCTGAGACTTCTGGGGCCTTGACGTGACACTCACCTACGCTGCCCTCCCAGAGGCCCATGGCTTCTGGATTTGTTGGTAGGCAACCACTGCAGCAACGCTGGTTTTGAAGGGAAATCTAGTAATTCTCTTAAAATTATTTCACACTCCTAAAAGACTCCGTGCACATTTACTGTTTGTGGGATACATTGCGGGTTCCCTCTCTTTTGCAGGTGCTGTTAGTCTGGAATTAGCTTCAGGCTTGGAGACAGGGGCGGGCAGCCATCTGTCTAGGCAATTCCTGCCTTGCTGTGCTGGGATCAGAGTCGGTGTCTCTGCAAGGCAGCAAGCACCGCACAGCTCATTGCTGCCCGACACAGCCAGCTGCTGTGGAAAGCCCTCCGAGGACACGCCGACCCAGCAGTGGGATTGAAAGTTATTTCAAAAGGACAGGAAAAAAAGGCCTGCAGGACAGCCAGGACTGGTCCAAACAGGGAGTTTTCCGAATATTCTAGCGTCTATTTCTTAAGGAGAAAAGCAGGTCCCTTATGTGAAAGTTATTCTGCACTACTGCATTGAGACACCCCAGGTTAGAAGCAGAGCTAACAGAGTGTTTCATTAAAAACTAAAGCTCCTCTTGTTGAAAAAGGTCAGATCCTGAGAGTTGCACAGTGCTCTCCCAGTTCTGGTTAGCTGCAAGAGATGGTGAGTGCCCTCAGCACCTTGTAGGCAAAGGCAAGCAGACGTGCTGAATACCAGAGCTCCTGAAAAAGAGTTCAATTTTCAGCAATAAAAAGAAATAGAAAACATGTTTTCAACCCACATTGCAATCTGCATGCGGTTAATTTAATCAACAAATTTCTATTTAAGTTACAAAAAAGATTAAGTCCACCAGAAAAATGGTGAAATTTGACAAAAGTTACATTACAGTTGTTCAAACAGCAGGTATCTGCACTGAGACTCAGTACGTCTGCAACTCTTGCATAAGCATTTCCAGACTCCTAGGGATTTTGCTGTTGTTGCTTGCATTTCGTTAGTTCTATACAGCTCTATGCCAAATGCAATGCCCCACACATTAAATATGCCTAAATATGCATTTAAAATACAACAGAAAAATCAGATGGCTTTATCAGTGTATAAAATGAGTATTTACATGGAATGTTGAGCTCAATTTACAAGACGGTGTTTCAGCTACCAGGACCTCGTAGTCCATTTACTAAATGATCACATTGACAAGATATTTAAAAACTTAACATCCCTTTTCAACCCTTTCATAAATATATAAAGTTTCACTAAATTCTTTGTTTTCTTTAAACAAGACAGCTATACTCTCTTTACAGATTAACACCAAATAACTCTGTTTCCTGTTTGAATGCCACAGATGTGATGATATGAAGAAGATAGCAAGTTCATACACTCCTTCTGTCCTTGTAAGACATATTCACAATATAAGTAGCGCACAGGTGTTCCTTGGTCTTTACAGATGTACACATTTCCTGCATATCAGTAGTAAATAAAGGGATTTACCAGATTATCTGTAATATAATCTATTATACATTTGCTTACACTGCCACGTAAAATTTATTTTGAGGTTTCTAACTGAGCAGTGTCAAGTTCAGTTTTACACTGAAGTTTACAGCATTCATTTTAATGCCTGTTACACTATGAAAAATGTCTCACCACATACAAAAAATAGAAAGAATTAATTATTGCAACTACTTCCAAGATCTCAAAGGTTTCCTCAATAATTATTGGAAAATTTCTGATGGGAAAACTATTCTAAAGGATGCTAAAAATGTTTGAAATCAAAGAAAAATGTTTTCTTTACTTTCTGTTGCTCCTACTAACGTATCACGGATCTTACAGAAAATTAATCCTAAAAAAAGATTCTGAAGTTATGTACATAGTAACTTTACCCTATTTAAATAAATATTTCCATGAATTTTATTTTGCCACAAAGCATGCATGAAAATATTTCCCATCCATGCATGCTCATAGCAGACTATTTCACAATCAAGCCACTGAATACATCTTGCATTTCATGACTAGTAAGTGCAAAGGAATACTAAAATCGGTCTGTACATGTGAGACAAGGTTCACATCTAAAAAAGTAAAAAGATATCTTGATACTTAATTTAATTAAACTATGATGTCTTCCTCATAAAAAATGTTGGTCACTTTTGCCTGTCTCAGTTCTCTCAAGCACTTAATTTCCAAGCACTGATGTGCTTTTTATGAGAGCAGTTACATTTAAAACCATCAAAGTGCTGATCTCTAGAATTAATTAGTATCTTCTGGTAACTCTCCATTAAAAAAGACATACCTTGGAGACAGACTTACAAATAACAGAGAAGTGTTTGGCAGTTTTGTTACACTAGTGTTAGCTCCCTTTCTTGAGTGTAAAGAAAGGGTTAAATCTGACTGCACTGTCCCAAATTCTGAACAGAAGGATTGAAGACACAGAAAAACAAGACCAATGTTTCAAGCACAGGAAGACTGTACCTGCTCTTCCATTACAGTTATAAAGCTCTCCTACCAAGAAAACGGCAAGTAAATAATGCCTAGAAATGCACCATATTTGGATTTGGAGCCATCACCGGATGTTTTGCCCATTTAAATGTTATGAGTGCAGCCAGCTGACGGGAACCCAGAAGGTCTCAGTCTCCAATCTGTCGAAAGTTGTTTTGAGCTCACTGTAAGCAGCTGCAAGGTCATCGTTGACTATCACCTTATCAAAGAGATGGCCGTACTGGCCTTCCATCACCTGAGCAGATTTGATCATTTCTTGAAAATCTTCTTCCTAATAAGATCAGTGAAAGCAGTAGTCAGTCCACAGAAACATTAAACACACAAATTCTGTGAAAAATTGAAAGTTGCTTATTTTTCTTTTCATCAGGAAATGAAAAGGGTACATTTTATTAAAAATATCTTGTATTTACCACTTCATATGATCTCAGAGAACTTTCTCATAAGTAGGCTTTGCCCAACAGGCAATTCTCTCCTCTCTTCCCTGGCAGCAACACAATTAGTGCACTAAGTGCAGAGACACTTTAGGTTAACAGTCCCAGTGGGAAGTGTTTCTGTTTACTTTGATGATACACTGGGAGCTTTGTTACTCAAGTCTCACCCTGCTATTATCAAGGGATATATTACAATACAGGCTTTATTTTTTTGAGAGCTCAGTGGATGTGAGAAAGATCAGTGGATTTCTATTCATGGTTTGGGAACAAATTTTAGAAATTAAATTGATTATATAACTAGAAAAGACTCAAACTGTCCCAAATAAACAATGTCCCGAAGAAAGATTACTCTTCAGAACGAACTGCTTTCACAATTCATATACCATACAAAATATTCTACTAGTATAGGATTTCCAAATTATTTCAAAAGCATATTTTAGCCAGATATAGTCTGCATCAGTGGCTCGGCTTGAAAAAAAATCATAAAATTCTAAAAAGCACCATAATGAAGGAAAATGATAGACAAAGTAGATGTAGAAAAAGTCTGTGATCAGCTTTGGTTTAGCTTCAGTTCAAATCTTATTTCATTACATTTCAAAGAAGGAGATTAGGTTACTTTTAGGTAACCTAATATTTCTTCTGCTTATTGACAGAGTAGTGTTTGTTACTTGTTTAGATTTTTGTCTTTTTGTCTGTTTGTCTTATAGTACTTATTTACATCTTATATTATGGCTTATTTAACACTTAGAAAAAAATAGGTCTCTTACCAATGGATGCATTTTTTTTTATTGAATAAGCATTTACTTTTTAAATTAATGCTTTATATTTGAGTTTTGCTCTAAATTTTGATTCAGTAATTTACCTGATAAAGCAGTAAAGTTCTTATATTAGAGACATCTGAGCCCAAATGCAACAGTTTTAAAGAAAAGTCACAGCATTATTTCTCTTAAAAATGTATTTCTTCCAGTTAGGGGTTCTGTGATGATATAAAATCAAACAGAGCACCATGGAAATGTAAGTATGCATGAGCATATCAAACAGTAAAAATACCCCAGCATGTTTAGGATGTGATAGAGATTGGGAGATAATGTATATACTATGTATAGGCCCTGACAAGCACTCTAGACAGGATCCAGTGAGGACAAGTAATGATCTTTAAATCAAGGTAAACCACCACAAAAAACTCATAACAAGTTCTCATGTTTTTACCAAGTCTATGTATACTTACTGTAAAGGGTTTTGCAGTTCCCCTATCATCTTTACTTGAAATAATCTTTGCATTTTTTCTGGTCTCTCTCAAACGTTCAAGTGATGGAGGCTTTATAAATATAACAAATGGCTTAAATTCATATGTCCGTAAGTGTTTCACTGTCTGGAAAGAGGAAAGACTACATTCAGTTCATTTCTCACAGTGGAATTTACAGTAATAAAAGAAAACTCTACAAAAAGAAAAACTAACAAAAACAAACAAACAAAACACCATAAAGGCTATTTTTCAATTAATGTCATCCCATTTTGTTGACAAGCATCAATTCATATAAGAAGGTTTTTTTTTTACGTAAATGGCAAGAAAATTCATCATTTCCACCTGGGCTAATCCCAGCTGTCCGCAGCCCTGCCACTTGCAGGGAAAAGAAGATTTGTAGGGGAGGAGCACTTGAACAACGGGTTTCAGAAGGAAGAAAACCTTGCTACACCCATGAGAAGAAATGGAAAAAGGTGTTTGTGACAATCTTTTGCAACAGGCCAGTCGCTCATTCTCTTCAGTACCGTCTGTCCAGAGACCCTGGACACACACCTTGGAGAAGAAGCAGTTTGACCTGGTTCAACCAAAGCACTCGAGCCCTGGCAAGCACTGGCGGCGCGAAGCTCCCAGCGGGGCAACTCAGCCGGGCTCGCAGGCAGGGCCAGCAGAAGCAGCAGAGGTTTGGGCAGGAAGGTTCCTAGCAAGATCCCAGCCCACATTACATTTATTTGC